TAAAGGTGGATGATATAGCAGTCATAGTTGATGTCAGAGCAAATCAGTATTAGAAAACAAAAAGTGTCGGGTGATTGTCGGGTGAGTAAAAAAGAAATAACAAGTTATTTAAGACGATAGATTTAAAATTATTTTTAAAAAAGTTCAGAATGGAATCTGAGAAACTGTTGATTCGAATAATTGTGGTTGTTATACATCAAACTTTAAAAACTTTTAGCAACCCGATTTATAGGTTATAAAAGAACCTATGAGAATTATGTATCACATTTTTTCATTAATCAGCGGTAATTAACCAGCGGCAGACCTTTTTCAGAAGTACATTACACCAGTAAACTTTTGAATTGCGAAACTACTGTGAGTTTCTACGAGTTCTACTGCGAATTTCTATGTTCCTTTTAACACCTTGATCAGTGACAGAAAGTAAAACAGCCCATCAACGAGTGGAAGAAGAAAATAAAGAAAACAACTGCTCAACTGTTCCAAAATATTTATGGAAATGATGGAAATAGAAGCTGTGTGTACGCCAAGTTTGTGTATGTACATTATTACAAATTCTGCATTCGGATTTAAAAAAATACTTTAAACACCTCTGTGCTTACCTGCAATTATGACAGCATTATCATAAAACTGTCTTCTGCATTTTTTCTTATATTTTAATCATCATTTACTAATCTCGTTAAAATCATACTCTTGATTTCCTCGGCAGTTTTTTCTTTAGCTTCTACAAAGTCACTAAACGATTTTGCAACTTTAACTTGTCTGCCATCAATAACTACATAACTAGCATTTTCACTGGTTTAATATTTGTGTTAATTTTTAAGATAATTTAAAAGTAATCTTCATCACCGACAACTTAACTGTCATTTTTAATATTGACCAAAAATGCAAGTACCGTCTGTGTTGACACTTTTCCTAATTGTTTTACCTAACGGTTATTTTATTATATATATTGATTATACCGGTCTTTTATGCATATATATTATTACAATATAAAGGCGTCTTGCAGGTATGCTTTTTCCATTACTCAAATATTATTCTTGGGAAATATTTCTATGGACACTGTGTTTTCATCAAAGGTTTTAAAAACATTTACTTTATGATCAATGTTGTCACAATTATTAACCTTTTCGCAAGTAAGTTTGTTCGATTATCATCAAATTTTTATGATAATTTTTAATAAATTTAGTTATTTTCGCTTTTACCCATTGACTCAATAGATTGAGCCAATGATGCGTACTAATCGTATCTTATTAAGGTAATCTTATCAAAAATTACAATGATTACGTTCTCCTCTGATTTTTCCATAATTTTTATTCAATTGCATGTTTTTAAACTGTTGAGAATTTCTTGAAATTAAACCGTAAATTTTTCTAGTGAATACAGCATATACATAATTTTTCACTTTCATTCAATAGTAATGGATGGTTACTAAAAATCCGGATTTATTTTTAGGGGCAATTCAACAGCTTTTAAGGTAGAGATTAAATAGAAATATCATTAGAACTTTTAGTAAATTATTTTGTGCGGCCGTGGCAAAAACGGCACTTCAGTACAGCAGGCGGGATGTAACTTTTTTCTTGATGTTAATTGATGTTATGTGCACCATAGCAGTCAGTCGCGATTTTGGCGTAAATACATAATTACTAACGGCATGATGAAAGGCACTAATCTTCCCTTTATACAATCCATTCCGTAGGTGACTTTGTTGATTGCAAGGCCACTGGGGTTGAAAAATGGCTTGGAAATACCTTTGTCAAAAGCGGCCAGCCAGACGAGCAACTTGGGTTTGTCACTAGAGTAGTAGGTGCTGTTTCCGTTAATTTTCGAATGTGAAAGAGTGAAAAAAAACTTGTCGTCAAGGATAACCGATTTTTTTTGAAAATCGCAATAAAGATTATCAACGCCGGTCTTGATTCGCTCTTTCTAGCTCTCTTGTCGAACAGGTATACCCTGTTTTTTATAAGTTTTGATATTAGTGTAATTAGGAAGAGCATACGAAAGACTGCATCCAAATTTTCGACCGGCTTGCCTCATCAAAACCCGGTTACTGTGGGGTCAAACATGATTTTCAGATCACCTTGTGGGTCATGATTTTGGCCAGACGACCACCTTGTACTCTTTTGAGTCCAGAATCACTCTTAGCACGTTTGATTATTTAGAATTTATTTGAAGTAATCTACTGTGAACTATTCAAATAAAACTCGTAAATCCGTTTTTCTATCTCTTAATGCTTGGAAATCATTTTGAATTAGATAATTTCTAAGAATGATTCTTAAAAATTATTTAACTTTTATTTTCTAACAACAAGTAAATTATCTTATAGAGAATAATATAGAAAAAAAGCTTTAAAAATGAATATAAGTATGAAACGAAAAATTAAGCTTGCGGCATTTAAAAGTCAGAATAAGTTTGTAAGGACTTTTAGTTACCGTCAGTTATAACTATGATTAGCTAATCAATTTCTAGAACTAGAATTATATTTGTAGCTTGAGTATTTGTATATATAAACACACATGATTTTCAAGAGATAATTAACCATTAGCCTCTGATAAACCTCAATAGAAATACCTATTTTCATAACTAAACGCCAAAAGTTCTTCAATGTAACAAAAAAACAAAAAACAAAAAACTTTTTTATTTAGTTTTTTTTCAAACTTTACAAATTCAAAATCCTTATATTAAAATTCAACCATATAAACGATCTTGAAGTTTTTTAGTTAGTTGTAATTCTAACGCCAAATTTAGTTGCAATCGGCTCGCTAAATTGATTAAAAAACTTTAATTAAACTTTTAAAAAAATATATAAATACTCTTTATTGACATAATTAAGTATTAATTGACATAATTAAGTATAAATTGACATAGTTAAGTATTAATTGAGTATTACTAACTGATTATAATTATTATTATTGTTAAATTTATTATTATTAAATTTATTAAATTAAAAGCAGTAGCTTTAGTTCTTACGTGTATGACAGTAATGCAATATTTTAAAAATAATAACTAATTACTTATAAAAATATCATAAGCATTGATAATAATCTTTTAATACAACTATTGGATAAATCATTTAAATCTTTTAACTTAACACTGACGATTAAATCTCGAGGACTATCGAGGACTATCTACCTTGTATCAATACAAGATTTATTTAATTTATTCATTTTTAACACTGTATCACTAATTTTCATTAAATATTAAAAAACTATGAAACAATTAGTAACTAAGTCTTTCTAAATTTAAAAAAACAAAAAAAAAATTTAGCATAAAATATTCCACTTAATAAAAATAATTTTTAAAGCAAATATGTATTTTTTTAACTTTAACCAATCTATATGCTTTGATAAAAAGGTAAATGGTTAACTATCTCATATATATATATATATATATATATATATATATATATATATATATATATATATATATATATATATATATATATATATATATATATATATATATATATATATATATATATATATATATATATATATATGTATATATATACATATATATATATATATATATATATATATATATATATATATATATATATATATATATATATATATATATATATATATATATATATATATATATATATAAATTTTCTAATGAGAATAAACAGCCGAATTTACAACATCAAAATAATCGACATACTATATACTATATATAATAATGATACATACAATCTAAAAATAAAATTTTAATGAGCAGTTTCTATTAGATACAGCAACACATATTTTCATTAAGTACTTCTGATCTGTATTTGAGTACTTCTGACCTGTACTTAAGTACTTCTGAAGTTTGGCTTTTTAAGTACATCTGTTAATAACAAAACTTTTCTGGTAACTCTATTAACATTGTTCATAACCATTTGTCTATATGATCATAGATCTTCTAAAAATCCTGCTTTTTCTTTTTTTAAATCCTGCTTTTTCCTTTTTAAAGGAAAAAGCAGATCATACCATTTTTAAAGGAAAAAGCAGATCATTTTAAAGGAAAAAGCAGATCATTTTAGAAGATCATAGATCATCTAAAAATCCTGCTTTTTCCTTTTTTTAAATCCTGCTTTTTCCTTTTTTTAAATCCTGCTTTTTCTTTTTTTTAAATCCTGCTTTTTCTTTTTTTAAATCCTGCTTTTTCTTTTTTTTTAAATAACATTGTAGAAAGTCTAAACATTTACAGGCAGCAACATTATTTAACCATATACCATCTTCTTTAAATGTAAAAAGGCTTGAGGTTTACTTTTCTGATCCTATTCTGCTTAAAGATCATAACAAATCTTCTATACTTGTCATGGCTATTGATCATTTGTAAAACGCTGGTATTAGAAACTAGAAATTACATGGCCAAGATGCTCTCAGCCATATAAGTTCAATTTCTTAACTAAAATATCTTACATTTTCTAAGCTAAAATATCATATATTTTCTTGTAATACCATATATTTTACTCACAACTGTAATACCATATATTTCACTCACATTTCGCTTCTTTGCTGGTAGGTTTGGTTTGAGGTTATACTTTATGAGAAGATAACACTATCTCACATCTTTATCATGTTGGCATCATTACTTCATTCATGGCCTACTTTATTTAAACGGCTGGATATTTTGCATTTTGAAGAAAAAAATAGAAGGCCAGTTTTTAAAATCGTACTGTTTCAAAAACTTAATACGTTTTGAACATTTTCAAAATTATTATTAATTTTACCACCAAAGTAGTATATATTCATAATTTTAGATATTAAACGAATATTTATTAAGAAATAAATAAATAGTCTTTATTTTAAAATTTAGAATTAGTAAAAACAATGTAAGAAACAAGAACATTTATAAAAAATATTTAAATGTTTTTCTTTTCATTAAAAAATAAAATAATTATATTATATATAATTTATTAAATTTTCTCAAATTTTCTCTTTTTAAAAGATTTTACATGATCAACAGCTATTTCACTGGTAAATATAATTCTTTTATTAATATGAAAAATGTTGACAACAATTCTTTCAGCAAGTTTTATCACAGTTTTCTCATGCATGGGAAAAGGAAAAGTCTGAAAAGAGTCATAAAAGTGGTTTAAGAAATATTCTAAAGCTTGTTGTGCATGTAAACTAAATTTCTTTATTTTGTTATAAGAGTAGTCAATCATAGCAAAGGATGAGCAAACATAATCCAAAAGTGACGGTGAAGGAATAGTGAGACCACACTTATATAAACAATATTTAAAGAAGTACGATCAGGATTGCTTTTATCAATATTGACACAACATAAAAATTCTTTACAACATGTACCAAAACGTTCTTTAAGTTTCTTTGTTATATAACCAGCAATATGAGCACTTACTTTCTGGTGCAAGTGTCATGATTTCTGGAGTACACTGAGTTTTATCAATATCAAGAAGAAAGTTTTTCAAATCTGTTAAATTATTTTCTGATTCAAGAGGCACTTTCAAACTATCATTAAAGTTAATACACTGTAAATCTAAAAGGTTCTTGACGGTTCTTTGCCGGTTCTTTGAAGAACTTAAAGGTTTTTCGAAAAAACTTAAGGTTCTTTAAAGAACTTTAAGGTTCTTAATATTCTTTTTTGGTTCTTTCAAGAACCGGCGGCTTTTTTACAAGGAAATGCATAGAACCCCCGAGGTTCTTCAAATCGATTTTTGGAAAACCTTAATAAAGATTCTTCAAAATCTTTTAGAAGCGCCATCTTATTTTTCTGCTTGATGGTTGCTAGTTTAGAAAACGTTGGTTTTGTAACTTTTTATATGCTTAGCGCTACTAGTTAAGCTAATAGTTTAACAAGATCTCAATAAAATCTCAACAACAAGAAAATCTCAATATTGACGATAAAATATCATGCATGAAAAAATTTAGTTTTAGTTTTAAATATTTGGAATTTTTTACTCAGTAATAGTATTTTATTTGGGGACTTTTTATTATTCAGTATCTGACTTTTTATTACTCATTATTAAAAAGTAATCTATACTGTTGTAGTAAATAACTCCGTTGTTTACTGCTGTTGACATCAACAGCAATAAAAATTACAACTCAAATATTTAGAAAATTAATAATATGAATACATTCTATTGAATACATTTATCATGTCTAAAATAAATAAACATGCCGTTGTATATTGACAATTACAATTACATGTTTCTTTATTGTTTACATGTGACATATATGTATATACAGGGTGGCCAGCAACCTGGAAATGTCAGGAAAATTCTAAACCATGTTAAAAATTCAGGGAATAAATTAAATTTTGCAATAGTCAAGAAATTTTAATTAATTCATTAATGGATTCAGTAACAAAGTATATACATTTTTTTGCTTATTGGAGACTAAAAATCAATTTTGTTTTTTAATTCATGTTTTTTTTTTGAATGTTTTATAATGTAAATTAAACGGTTTTTTAAAAAAACTTTTATTATTTGGGTTAAGTCGTGTGAGTTAAATTTGTTGCCTTTTTACTGCTACGTTTGTTAAATTTATATTGATAAATAAAGGAAATTTCATTTCAGTCAAGGAAAAGTAAGGAAAAATTAAATCAAAAATTGTCTGGCCACCCTGATATAATAAATAAACATGTAATTGTAGATAATTGTAAATAATATTGCATAAAATATGTAAACATACCTTGTATGTTTATATACTTTATATAATAATATTGTTAATGATTTATTTAGATATAATATTAATAGCATTTTTTAACATTTATTAAAGATAAATTTGAATGGCAGATTATATGAACTGGAATGTAGAGGATGTTTGTGCATACTTAGAATTAAAAGGACTCCCAGAACTTAGACAAAAAGTTATTGGTTAGACTTGAGTTTTAATTTATTTTTATAGTTATAAATTATATTATTACTATATAGTCATTAAATGGCATACACTTAAATAATGGTGTACATTTTTAGATATTAATTAAAAAAATAATTAATAATAAATAGATAACAGATGGCATAGAATACATGTTTAACATAAAATTACTATATCAATATATATATATATATATATATATATATATATATATATATATATATATATATATATATATATATATATATATATATGGATATAGTAATTCTATGATAAACATTGTTTTTTTAATCAATGTTTTATGTATATTTTATAAATGTATATATATGTATATATATATATATATATATATATATATATATATATATATATATATATATATATATATATATATAATATATATATACATTTATAAAATATACATAAAACATTGATTAAAAAAACAATGTTTATCATAGAATTACTATATCTATATATATATCTATATATATATATCTATATATATATATATATATATATATATATATATATATATATATATATATATATATATATATATATATATATATATATATATGGATATAGTAATTCTATGATAAACATTGTTTTTTTAATCAATGTTTTAAAATTTAAAAATGTGCAACATTTTATCATAGAGGAAGAAATGGATGGGAATGTTTTGGTGTCGTTGACAGAGTCGATGGTGTCACGCTTATGCCAGACAATGGGTAGACAAGTCATGTTACTGGAAATTATCAAGAATCTTTTAACTCCACCACAAGCAATCAATAATTTTAAGTAAGAATTTATGCTAACATGCTTATTTATACATGTTTTATAAGATTTTTTTTTTGAATTCTAATTGATAAATTTTTTTTAGTTGTAATTGTATTTAAACATTTCTTGCTAGCTTATATATTTGTTTATAAATAGCAAGAAGTAAATATTGATTTGTACGAAATAATAATAACAATAAAATATTAGTAATTTAGAACATGTTGCAAATGTTTCACAAACACTGGCACATTGTGAAGATGTTGATAACGTTGAGCCATTAAACAGAACAAAAAAACCATGGTCAGTGCAATATCAACTTCCTATTTTTCCTCCATTAGTAAAAGCAGCACTAGATGCCAACGATGGTTGCTTTCTTCAATATCAAAGAAAAAATTGTAGAAACCACCTTTTGCAATGTCTATATGATGATATTAGCAAATACACTATGTAATAATAACTTTATTTTAAAAACTTATCTTGTGTTTTGCAAACATTTGAGTTTTGTAAAAACTACATTTGATTTTTGTTTAACTGATTTTTTTTTTGTGAAAAGCAACCTTTAATGTTTTTCTATAGGTATCCCTCAAGTACACAATATTCAGATGTTATTGCTGCTCTTTGCTCTAAATATCCTTATTTAAATGACTTTCCATCTACAAGTAGTTCTTCAGTACACAGATTTGGAATCTATGTAAGTTTTTTTTTGTTTTATTTTTTTAATATAAATTTAAATTCATATATATATATATATATATATATATATATATATATATATATATATATATATATATATATATATATATATATATATATATATATATATATATATATATATATATATGTATATATATATATATATATATATATATATATATATATATATATATATATATATATATATATTTATATATATATATATATATATATTTGACAAATAAGCATAGAAACCTAGGTGGTTTCCATGTCATGAAAAAAATATATAAGTATATAATTATTGATGTTTTTTTATTGCTTTAATTAGTTTTTTTTTAATTTTGTTAATATTTTCTTTTATTTTTATCTTATTGGCAGCCAATACTAATTGAAAATTTAAAAAATAAATTAAAGAAAGAGTGACTCCCTTTAGTTCAATTAGACATTGTTGCTGAACACAAAAGAAAATTTGGGCAACAAGGTAGAGGGCGCAAAAGAAAGGATTTTGGTGATGATCAATCATGTGCCAGAAAAATAAGAGACTTGGTAATACTAATATTTGTATATTGCATATATTTACATTGCTATATAATTACATATATTTATATTGCTATTTTGAATACAACTTGTTTGTTATAAACAATAAAAAATAAATTTAATTAATCAGAAAAGTGTTCATTGTTATAGTATATTTAAAATTTTTTAAGCCAAAAACACATGCCTGTGGGTGAAGATGAGACAACTGTGGCCAAACATCACCATGATATGAAAGCTGAATACAGTAAGCTTCCAGATATTAAAATGCTCCTTGATCGTCAACAACGCAGTTGGCCAAATAGAGCAAAAAACTTTGAATTAAACTTTAGCACAGTTGATATAAAAGCTAGCTATCCTTGGCTTTCTAATGCTAGATTGGTTGGTTTCAAGTTTTTGCATAAAAATATTTTATTACTCTAATGTGTATTTATATATAAAAATGACTTTTGGTTGAAATGTACTTCTATTAAAACTTATTTATACTTAAAAGTTATAATAATTAAAATAAATTTGTATAAATATAATACAAAAATGTTTAATTACATTTAAAATATGATGCATTTTATTGATACACCTTTTTGTGTCAAATTATAGTTACTTTTTCATTTTCTTTAAAGTTTCTAAATGAAATGAAATTAAGATTTTGCAAAGACCTTGATAAAGAACTCCACCAACAGCTGGGTGCCATAGGAAATAAAGTTGTTAACCTTGCTAAGTCTGCTTATAAAGATGAGTATGTAATTGCAATAACTGCTGAAATCGAATGTGAAATTGATGACACTATGAAGCAAGGCATATTATATACATACATACATACATATATACATATATAAATATATATATTATATATATATTTATATATGTGTATATATATATATATATACACATATATATATATATATGTATACATATATATATATATATATATATATATATATATATATATATATATATATATATATATATATATAAATATATATTGCATAAGTTAGTTGATTGACAATATTTTTTATATACATACACATCATAGGCTGTATTTTGATATCCTTTTACTTTTTGTTTTTTTATTTATTTGTTTTTAATTTTTTTATAGATTTTATCATTACAGATACACTTTGAATGCCAAGATTGTTTAAAGAAAAAAAATTAAGATTGCTTAGTAACATTTGATAGCCAGCCGATACACCTCACACCAACTATTAAAATGCCAAATAAACAAAAACTGACGACAAGAGACTGCAGCATTATATTGGATAGGTGTGAAATAGTTAAACATTGTAGCGATGTTGATGTGTCATTAGCAATGTCTTGTGTTTTTGCTTCTTACTATATTTTTAATATTGAATACCCTGCAAGATTGAAAAATACATTATTGTTTTTTGAGCATATTGTGTTTGGGTTGTCCAACAAAGAATGTCCTGTAACTGTATTCAGAATGGCTAATACTTTACATCACGTCATAAATTTAATTATTTTTATTATATATATATATATATATATTATATATATATATATATATATATATATATATATATATATATATATATATATATATATATATATATATATATATATATATATATATATATATATAAATATATATATATATATATATATATATATATATATAAATATATATATATATATATATATATATGTATAAATATATATGTATAAATATATATATATATATATATATATATATATATATATATATATATATATATATATATATATATATATATATATATATATATATATATATATATATATATATATATATATATATATATATATATATATATATATATATATATACCATCATCAGTTAAAAAAAAGTTATAAATGACCATTTTTTTAGAAATAAGAACAGCCGACAAACAATAATCATGGTGTACCTAGACATGAAGTTTTTTTTTTTCTTTTTTGTAAAATGTTTTTTATTTGTCTCATATTTTTAAAAATAAAAATAAAAGATTTATCGTTGAGCTGCTTTTTTACTTGTGTGTGTGTTGTCTGTGTCTATATATATATATATATATATATATATATATATATATATATATATATATATATATATATATTTTTTTTTTTCGCATATAAAAAATATGTAACCCTTTAAATTACGGTCAGAAAAAATTATTGCTTAGGAGAGCCTTTGTTATTTTTATATGACTGTTTAATAATAATTATAAGTTAATTTTGTTTTCTTCAGTAGTCTACTGTTTTTTTCTGTAGCCTTGTAAAAAGTGCATGATTTCTTTAATCCTTTTTATAAATATTTTCTAATTTAGCAAATAGTTTATTGTTTTAAATGGCTGCAAGTAATATCTTATGTTTTACTTGTTGTACATGTGGTGCACAGAAATATTCGCTCAAAAAGTATTTACAACATTTGTATATTATGCATGAACACACAGCAGGTTTTCTTCAAGTTTGCAATATTGATGGTTGTCCTTCTAAATACCCATCTGTAAAAAGTTTCATCATATGTGCAAGAAGCATAGTACCTTTTACAATGCAGCTCAAATATCACCCAATGAGTCTGAAAATACCATTAGTGAAACAATATTAGATAACCAAATTTTAGCTAAGCATGCTCATGATAACATAATGGAAGAGTTTGATAGTATTACTGATAGAGAAGCTACAAGATATTTTCATTCTAGTTTAGAAAGCACTTCAATTTCTCCGCTAGACAATCTACTTAGCAATTTACAACAACATTTTGCAATGTTTCTAGTTTCAATAGCTGAAAGGCATTCAACTCCATCTGTTGTGCAAATTAATGTGGCAAATGAAGTTCAATCTTTGCTGACATATTTTAACCACTGTTTTTGCACTCTTATAAAGCAGCAATTTGGCAATAACTTTCTCTATAGTAGTGATTTCAATGAACTTTTAAATTGTGATCTGCTTCTGGATCAAGTTTTATCTAAAGTTAATACCAGCAAAAAAATCATTTTATTTAGCAAGCCACATTTAGGTCTTAATCTACCAGTTGAAATAAAGTTGCACAGTATAACAGAAAATTTATATCAGAATCATTTAACAACATCAAAAAGTGAAACTTTTCAGTATATACCTTTGCTGAATGAAAAGTATATTTTACCTTTGCTGAAAAAGTTAGTCGAAAATGAGTTTATCTGGAATTCAATGCAACAAAAACTTGAAAAAGAGGAGTCTAGTAACACAGATTTGTTATGCTCATATTCGGATGGTTTCATTTGTAAAAAGCATGATCTTTTTAAAGATGACAAGTATGCATTAAGACTCCATTTATACTGTGATGAGTTCGAGGTATGTAATCCTATAGGTGCCCATCGCACAGTACATAAACTCTCTGCTTTTTATTTCTTCTTGGGCAACATTAAAGAGCAACATATTTCCCAGCTTCAGAATATAAACTTATGTATTCTTGTAAAAGAAAAATTTATCAAGAAATATAAAACTTACAAGCAAGTTTTAAGACTATTAATTCAAGATTTGCTGATATTGCAAAATGAAGGTATTTCAGTTATGATTAATGGTAAACAAATTTAATTGTTTGGAGGTGTTGCAACTATATCTGCTGATAATCTTTCTGCCCATGCACTTGCTGGATTTCGTCGCGTTTTCAATTCTGGGCGTTTTTGTCGTCAGTGTATGACTTCTTACACTGAAAAAAATATAGTTTTGACTGAATGCAATACAAAACTTCGAACTAATGAAATGCACCATTATCATTTAGCCGCTATATCTGGCCAAAGTCTCATTTCTTCAAGTATGTATGGAGTTGAAAAACGCTGTCCTTTACTTGATTTATCATATTTAAGTGTTATACAGTCTTTTCCACCAGACATCATGCATGATGTGTTAGAAGGTATCATACCACAATTAATAGGTCTAGTTCTAATAAAATTTAAAGAGCAGCACTTGATTACATTGGAACAGATTAATGTAGAGCTTAATATTTTTGAAATAGGTAGAAATGACAAGAAAAATAAGCCAGTACCATTTGTTTCACGTTCTGGTACTTCTATTAACTTTGTTGGTTCTGCATCACAAAAGTTTTGTATGTTTGGTTTGCTGCCATTTTTAATTGGCAATCGCATACCAATATGCAATAAGCACTGGTTGCTGTATTTACAGCTTCGAGATATAGCAGATTACATATTTGCTCCAAAAATTACCAAAACTGTACTGCCGTATCTGCAATTTTTAGTAGAGCACTTTTAGCAAAATTTCATTGAACTATTTCCCAATAATTTGACACCCAAATTTCATTTCATGCTTCATTATGCTCGTCTTATCAGTAAATATGGACCACTGCGATATTTATGGTGCATGCGTTTTGAAGCAAAACACTTATATTTTAAAAAATTGGCTTCTGTTATTAGAAATTTCAAAAACATAGGTTACTCTCTTGCGAAACGACATCAACTACGACAGTGTTGGGAGATGACATCCTCTGACTTTTTTAAAGAAAATTATAAAAGTTCTAATCTCTGTTCAATTACTTTTGATAGTTTATCAACTTGTATTCAGGAGAAATTGATGTTTTTCTTTGTCAATGATGTTTTTGATAAAAAAGAAACAATTTGGAAATGCAATGTTATTAATATCAATGAAACCCATTTTCATTTGCATGATACATTCATTTTATCTTTATTACACACAGAAGAAATTCCTTTATTTTTTAAAATTCTTCACATTATTCAATTTCGACAATGCTGGGTATTTTGTGGTAAGCTGCTTATTTGTGACAAATATAATGCCCACTTGCATGCATTCAGAGTTAAAGAAGATGAAACCTTGTCCATATGCTTACCAAAGGATGTGTTTGACTATCAACTACTTGATACATATATACTAGAAGATGGCTATACCTATATTACTCTTAAAAACTTGTGTTTTAAATAGTTTTTTTTCTTGCATTTTTTATATAAATTTGTTGTACTTTAACAAAAACAAAAAAGAAACTTTAAACAATAACAATTATAATAGAGTAAATTCGTAATAATAATTTTTTTAAAGATTATTTGTTTAAATAAAACATTTCTGAAAAAAAGAAAAAACGAAAACAAATTTAAAGTGTTATAAATAGTAAATAATATATAAATATGCATTGAAGGTGTAAAAAATTTTATTTAAATTT